CCGCTGCCAGAAGAAAAAGCTGGTTTGTCGAGCTGACCACTTTGGTCTAAAAAAGCAGCTTCTGGGGTTTTTGAGCCTCATCGAAAGCACAGAACAGAAGCTTATAGACCTCTGAAAACAAACCATAGTGGCACTCCCTAAAAACACACTTCACCACTGTTCTTCCAACACCGTGATGCCATCTGACTAACATAAAGCATAAACAGATCATCACTTTCAAATTAGCAACATTTCACCATTTCGTCTTAATGGTCCATACTGTATGTCGAAACAGCCCCCATCTAAAACAGTCCTCGTAAACTGAAGTCAGATTTTAGACTGATTTATTCAAATCAGCTGTTTTCCTCAAGTTTTACTGCTCAAAGCACTTTTAGATATTTTAATCAGAACCTCCCCCCCTACCTACCGGGTCTCATGTTGTGAACTGTGACGTTCGTGCTTACATGTTGGGTGTTTTTTTTTGCATTGGAGAGCTACACCCTGCCGGTGTAACCCTGTTAATGCCTTTTTTTCTCCCTCCCCTGAACTCTCCTCATGTATTCCCTTATTCATTTACTAAAGGAGCGCCGTCATGGCTGCTCCCATGGTCTGCCTGTATCTGTCCTGTCTATATGTGTGTGTGTAACCTTGGTCAGGTTGTACTGTGGAGTCAAGTTCCTATGCTCTGGATCGCTGGAGCGCTGGCAATAAAATTCATTCTGATTCTGATACTGATTTCTGATCAGCTTTTGACAAGTTTCAAAGGCTTTCATTGACAGTTACATTAAGTTTATGACAAAATGTGTTGGTCCTTCTTTTTCCGAAACCTCTGCAGTTCCTCTTGCTTCTGCATACTGCAGGCTGAGTCCACCGTCAACTTGATGCGAAGATTTAAAGTTAAAGTCCCATTAGTTGTCACACACACACAGGTGTGTGTGCGAAATTTGTTCTCCGCATTTGACCCATCCCCTGGGGGAGCGGTGAGCTGCAGACACAGCCGCGCTCGGGAACCATTTGGTGGTTTAACCCCCCAATCCAACCCCTTAATGCTGAGTGTCGAGCAGGGAGGCATTGGGTCCCATTTTTTCAAAGTCTTTGGTCTGACCCGGCCAGGAATCGAACCCCTGATCTCCCAGTCTCAGGGCGGACCCCCTACCACTAGGCCACTGAGAAAGGTTAGGGTTGAATCCCATCTACACCAAAATCATTGATTGCAAATAACAACAGCACCAGTCCCCTCTGGTTGGTCCACTGTAGTAGCTTTTCTTATTTTCTGTAACTTTCCTTCTGCTTCACGATCAACTCTTACCAGATCTGTGGCCTAGTGTTCAGTTTTTTCAGTTTTAGTTTATTTGTCATATGCAAGTTAGCACAGGGTCAACATTGCAATGAAACGTGTATGACGAGCAGCGGTCTCTCAGCAACATGATACAGGAGAAAATATAATAAAATATAATAAAATATAATAAAATAAAGCAAAAAAATATAGTAAGGAGCAAAATATTAGAGAGACATGGTAAAAGGGGAAAGATGACTAAATATATATGTGTCAATAAAGAAAATCCTGAAAAGAAATATGACGGGAGGGCAGATGGGATATTGCACAGGAATGAGCTGCAGAAAATTACAGTATTGCACTTTAGATATAAATTACAGTATTGCAGGATATAAATTATGCAGGATATAGATTACAGTGTTGCACTTTGGATATAAATTACAATAACAATAAAGTGAAGTGACCAGTACGGATTAAATATAGTACTTGTGAAGCTGCAGGGTAGCTTCTGGGTCCTGTGTTGTGTGTGTTTAGGTGTTGTGGTTGAGGTGTCGTATGGCTTGATGATAGAAACTGTTTTTAAGTCTTGTAGTCCGAGCAGACAGACTCCTGTAACGTCTGCCAGATGGTAACAAGGAGAACAGCTGATGTGCCGGGTGGCTGTGGTCCTTGATGATGCTGTGTGCTTTCCGGAGGCATCGTTGGAGATAAATGTCCTGAATGGCAGGAAGCCTCATGCCAGTGATGTGCTCTGCTGCTTTCACCACCCTCTGTAGTGATTTACGGCTGCTGGCAATAGTGGTGGAGTGTCCGCCCTGGGATTGGGAGATCGGGGACTGATCCACGGTCGGGTCATACCAAAGACTTTAAAAATGGGACCCAATGCCTCCCTGCTTGACACCCAGCTTTAAGGGGCTGGATTTGGGGGTTAAACCACCAAATAGTTTCTGAGCGCAGCCACCGCTACAGCTCCCCTCCATGGGGATGGGTCAAATGCAGAGATGAATTTCACCATTGTGTGATGATGACTACGGGACTTTTCTTCCAATTTTACAAAAGACCGGTTGTTTGGCAAGCTACGTCTGCCATTATGGTTTCCCAGAGTCACAACCAGTCAGTATGAGTTAACAAGACCCACCCAGTGACTCTACTGGGCCATTCCAAGTACATACCTCAAGGTAGGTACTTGTTTAGTTTCTGAAATGGCTCAGAAAGGGGTTGTTGTGGGCCAGCCTGGTGAGATAG